AGAAGAACTTAGAACTTTGAGGTGACTTGTTTTATGGTGTGTCTGTCTCCCGTGTTTAATGGGGCTTTTTCCCTGATGCACTTATGTAATAGTTTTCCTAAAAGGTCATATCCTTAAATCTTTTAAACAATGTCAGATAAGAAATCATCTTAACTTTTATCTTCTAAGCTGTTATCTATTGTAAAACATTAAGTAATGTCATTTTACAGCTGACTGCTTTTTCCAAATTTCATTTGCTATTGGTGTGGTACTTCGGTGACACATTGAAAATATTTATTTAACTGACAATTCTAGTTCTCTGTAATTAAGGATTTTGAACAAATAGTAAAACATATGTATGTAAAAATACATGAAATAAATCAGCAAAATTCTTAATATTTTTTCTCTTAATATTGTGTTTTCTGTTAAATATTCTGTTAAATAAATATATCACAGTGTATTGTTTTTTGTTTCTATCAGCCTGAAGTACTTGAACAATTAAGTGGGTTAAAAGAATTTTGGATGGATGATAACAAACTATCGCTTGTTCCAGGGGTAATGTATATTTATTATTATTAAGTATTATATTTTATTTCTATATTACAGCTACCATGGCAATTCAATGGTATGCTTAATGCTTAGCTGAATCATTATATTTTCATTACAATTATTATTAATACCGATCACCTTTCCTGAAAGAGATTCTGGAAAAAAATCTTTTTATATTCTGTAAAGCACTGAACAAATGTACCTTGTGGAAAAATTCTGAAAATGGCAAAGATTAATTTTGCTGTGGTCACATAGCATATCACTGACTTTCCTTGAGTTCATAGAAAGGGAGGTTCATCTACACTAGTTGAAATTTTTAGTGGAATCCCACAATAAAGTATCTTCAGCTAGACAGTTTTTCTAGATTTGGATTATGTAAAGCATAATTAAAATATACATCCTAGTTTGTAACAGAGCCTAAGCATGATCTGATATGTCATAGCAAATAAAAATTGTGTTAGAGTTAATTTGTATTACCTGCAGAGTATGGTATCTTAGTGTTTTAATTCGCAAGCTTTATATTTTACCAGTGCCTCTGTATTTTCAGTTTATGGGCAGTTTGAAGCACTTGACTTACCTGGATATTTCCAAAAACAACATTGAAAGTCTTGAAGAAGGTGTTTCAGGATGTGAAAGTTTACAAGACCTGCTATTATCTAGTAATTCACTTCAGCAGCTGCCAGAGTCCATTGGTTTGTATTGTTAACTATAAATCCGTCATAAAACCATAACAACATTTTGGCATTCTTTATTTAAACATAAATGTACTTTTCCAGCACATATGCAAAAAAGTGTACCTAGTTGTCTTTTTTTTTCTTTTAAAGGGCAATTTTATATTGGTGTTAACTTAAAAGTTGTTAATCAGTGGAAACAATGACAGTGTTGTAGCAAGTCCGGTACAGTGTAATAGCTGGATTAATCTTTCCCAAAGTGATCTGCGTTATTTGGCGCACTGTAAAATACAGTGCCTGCCAGATTTATTGGTCTACAGCTCCCACTATCATGGCCCAGCTTGATCTGTGATCAGTGAGCTGGCAAAAGGAATGCAGTATTAGGCCTGTCTGTTTTTAACTATTTATGGTTTTAGATATTGCTCTGTAGGAGCCATAAGGACACTTGCAAGTAAATTGTTTCCTGTTATCCTCAATTGACAGTATCCGTGTAGATGTCCTTTGACAAATACAATGAATTCAAAGGCCATTTTTTCTGCTGTAATAAACTTTAGTTTGATTTTAGTATCAGTTGATCCAGGACTAAAATAATTTTGCTACTCAGGCTTGTAATCTGGGTACAGTGAAATAGTCACACATAGAAGACAGTAGAAGCTTTGGGAGATTGCTATTGCTTGCTTCCTCTGCAATAAAGTAGAATATGTCATATGAATACTTTATGAATACCATTTTAATATTTCTTTTAAAACAGGTTGTCTAAAGAAATTAACTGTTCTTAAAATTGATGAAAATCAATTAATGTATTTGCCAGACTCCATAGGAGGGTAGGTATTTCTAGATCTTCTTTAATGAAGAACATGTTATATTTCATTTTAATTGTTTTTTAATGAATTCTTGTTAAGTCCTTTTACTTAATGCCTTTCAAATCCATTGGCATACCCATGTTCATATTAGTAATCATCTTGAAGTTTATAATTCTGCATATCCAGTAGATTTAGATGATTGTGAAGCTCTATAGGTACTTTGAATGCTGAGCTCTGTCCAAATGAGCTGCTATTCAAGTTTCACTTAATATATAGCAAAATATTATTTGTATTTTCTTGACTTTAAATTATACTAGCAAAGAAAACGAGCCAACTGTGTTTTTATTTATTCAACTTGGTTTAGGTTAACATCAATTGAAGAACTGGATTGCAGCTTCAATGAAATTGAAACTTTGCCTTCATCTATTGGGCAGCTCTCTAATATAAGAACCTTTGCTGCAGATCATAATTTTTTAACACAGTTGCCACCAGAGGTATGCTTTTATTCATGGATCTAGTTGTTTGTCTTTACACACTTAGATTTGTTGAGCTGTTCAAAGAATTTTAGTAGAATGTGGCTTCCATTCTTTTGAAATAAATTAGAAACCAACTTCAGAACTCTTTATACTGGTTAAATTGGCATGAAAAAATCCTGAAGTGCAGAGACTACTCACCTGCCAAATTATGCACTGTGGCACAAGTGAGCTCAAAAAGCAGGATATAAATCTAACAAATAAATAAAAATAAGGACAGCTTAGGAGGGTGTTAGTATTTCTTATCTGGAGGTGCTGGGGGGAGAAAATACTTGTTAAAAACTTTTTACAACCTGGAACATAGATGTTTGGACATTCAGGACCCAATTATTATGACCATGAACTACTCTCTCTATACCCCCTACCTCTTTTATGATGATGGATTAAGTATTTTTCTGTTATTAATATACACAGTGAATCCAAACTTGCTCTTGCATTAATGGAAAGACTAAAAAAAAAAGTGTGTATTTTACCAATCTCTCTTTCCACAAGCCATGTACAGCTTTGTAGATTATAACAAGCACCTTGAATCGCACCCAGTAGGATACTGGTAACCAGTGCAGTTTACAAATTGGGTGTCACATGGGCATGCCAAGGCATGCCCATCACTGCCTGTACTGCTGCATTCTGGGACCAGTTAAAGCTTCTGAGTGATTCTCAAGGGCAGCCCCATGTAGGATGCATTGCAGTAGCTGAGTCATGAGGTGATTAGGGCATGAATAACTGTCTGAAGGGCCTCCTGATTCAGGAAAGGCACAGTTGTTGTACCAGATACAGTTGTGCAAAGGCTTTCCTGGCCACAGTCGCCACCTGCTGGTAGAGCAGGAGCTATGTGTCTAGAAAGACTCTAAGATTGTGCACCATTCTTAAATGGGAAAGTGCCACCCCATCCAAGGTTAAAGGTGGAATATTCCCACATCCAGGTGGCCCTAATACCCACAGTCACTTTGTCTTGGTAGGATTGAATCCGTTTTGGTTCTTCTTCATCTAGGCCTGTGCAGCCTCCAAACACTGGGACAGAACCTTGACAAGCTCACTGAACTGATGATTTGTTTTTTGCTTGTTTGTTTGTTGTTTTTGTGCCTTTGAGTCAGTCTTGACTCCTGGCGACTGCCTGGACCTGTCCCTGTAGTTTTCTTGGCAAGATTTTGGAAGTGGCTTGCCGTTGCCTGCTTTCTAGGGCTGAGAGAGAGTGACTGTCCCTGCCCAGTTGCCTAAGGCAGGATTAGAACTCATGGTCTCCTAGTTTCTAGCCTGATGCCTTAACCATTACACCAAACTGGCTCTCATACTGATGACACTGAACCGCAAACCTGTCAATGATTTCACCTAGCAGTTTCATGTAGATGTTGAACAAAAAAGGAGAGAGTGTTTATTTCTGTGACACTCCCACAAAGGTGTGGCCTGGGGATTGACTTCTCCCCACCAGCCAATACCAACTGGAACAAGCCTTGAAGGCAGGAAGACAACACGGTTAAACAGTGCCACTGATTCCCAACTCCAGGAGCTGATCCAGAAGAATACTGTGGTCAGTGGTATTTAAAGCCACTGAGAAATCAAGGAGCACAACAACAGATGCAGTATCTCTGTCCTGGCTCCACCACAGGTCTTTTGCAAGTGCAACCAAGACTGTCTGCATCCTGAATCCCAGCCTGAAACATGACTGAAATGGGTTTAAACAGCCTGCTTCATCCAGGGTCCTCTGCAACTTAAGTCCAACCATTTTCTCAACAAATTTCTCTAAAAAGCAAAGGTTGGAGGCAGGATGATAGTTATCTAAGATTGTTGGGTCCAGGGACAGCCTGTTGAGATGGTGCACCACCGATTCCTTGGTTGATTCCTTGGCGTACCACTGAGGCTGAAAGAATCACCCCCTCCCTCAAAGAGACTGCCACCACAGCACAGACCAAGTACAAGTCACCTCCCTGACTGCCTTAACTAACCAGGAGGGACCTGGGTCCAACTAACAGGTAGCCAGACTAACAGCACCAAGAACCCTGTCTACTTCTTCAAGAGTTACTGACTCACACTTCTCCCAGATCACACCACAAGACCAAACCCCAGGTCCCTCGGCCGGGCCTGCCTAGTCAGAGCCCAAGTTGGACTGGAGTGGAGTGGCTATCCTCCAGATAGCCAGAATATTTCTCACAGTACCCCAGAAGATGGTGCTATGGCCCATCCTGCCTAGTAGGGACTGGGTCATCCTAAACAGAGCCACTTGACAGCTATCTGTGGAAAAATATTGGCATTTTGCCACCCTTATCACCATGAGGCAATCCCTAAAATAGGATTGGTGGGTCAGACTTGCTCTGAGTCTTTCTCCAGTGGTGCAGTTGAACTATACTAAAGGATGGAATGAGGTCGGTTTGCTTTTGCATTGTGCAATGATGAGAGTTTCTGTGGCAACATTCTGAATTAGGAGGTATAATACATACTTTAATCCCTATTCTTATTTTTGCTACTTATATGACAATAATTTATCATCAGACTTTTGGAAGGTTGTTTTTGTATCCATAGACTGATATGGCTTCAACTTTGGATATAGGTTGAATAGCATCAAGCCAGTTAACAGCCTTCTTATCTCAACTGTTACATTAAAGGTAGAAACCTTTTTCTATGGAGGAATATCTTTTTGACTTTAAGATGGAAAATAAATTATCTTGTTTAATATTCTGGGAAAACTTTGGCAAGATTTATAAATGTAGTCAGAGAAGTATATGCAAATGTTCATGCGTTCTCAAACATATGCATACAGAAACATGGTCTATTTCTTCACAACTTTTTTTCTTACCCTAAGATGTCTTCCTTCTATCCCATATCTCTATGGTTATTAGCTATTTCAATGTGCTTCAAAGCACCACTGAGTATTGGAAACTGTAGCCTCAGTGCTGGATGATCTGGTATTTGCTTAGAGAGTTGATCATAAAGAGCACAACTGCTAAAGTATCTTAGTCTGATTTTATTGGCAGTGGCCTTAATTTGACAGTGTCAATGGCTGGACATCCATGTTCTGCAGAATAGTTGTTCAAGAGTGATATGGAGGCTGCAGGTTGCCTTCATATAGATTAGATGGGAAAAGTACATGTAATCTCCATTTGAAACATATTCTCTCCAAAATAGAAAGTGTAAATATGATCAGAAAAAAGCTGTCTTTTTTAGCTGTCCTTTTTCATCAATTTTGGTAAATCAAAATTTTCATATTTAAATATAGTTTCATATTTCAAAGAAAAATAACTGAAGATATATACATTTATAATTGATGAAATACTGTTCTGAACTTCTGCATAATTAAGTTTTTCTTTTCCCCCCAGATTGGAAACTGGAAACATGTAACTGTTTTGTTTCTGCATTCTAATAAATTGGAGGTCCTTCCAGAGGAAATGGGTGATATGCAGAAATTAAAAGTTATAAATTTAAGTGACAATAGGTTTGTGACTTAAATTATTTTGCATGAATATTCCATTATTCATAATGATAAGTACATTTAATCCAGTCACTGCTTCTCACAAAATTGTTATAAGCATAAAATGATGGGGTATTCAAACAGGGATCATTCAGTTTCTTTGGATGAAGATGGGATGAAAATATAATACATTTTCTTTCTATAAAGCGTACTCTAGTAAAGATACTTTGAAAGGGTATGTATAGGAAGAGTTAGAAAATGTGACTTAAGAATTTGGATAGGAGTGGGCGCTGAGGAAAGAAGCAACGTAGAAGAGCCGTAGTTGTTGGTATAGGATGGAGCCAAAGAGAGACAAATGCTTTGGTTGCAAGATAAGGGGAAGTATTTCAGACCAGGAAGACCAAGAGACAAGTTAAAGATTTTAGGATTCTCCTCTTCCTTTTGTCCTGTTTTTTTTTAATCATTTATATTATATAATGCTCCAGAGAAGTGTGCAACTGCCTGTCCCTGTGAGCACTGTGTTACTGACCACGCTTCAGAGCTTAGTTACATTGGATATCAGGTGTAAGACTGGTAAGGGCTGAGCTTACTGCAAGAATAACTTACATGCCCAATAATAGTTAAATAGAGAAAAATACACAATTAAAATGGCTAAGAATGTGGGAAAAGTTACCACCATTTTATTGCTGTATTTTACTAATAAATAATTATATTGTTTCTGATTTGCTAATTAAGTAAACCAGTTACCTTGATTTTTATTCACAGATTGAAGTATTTGCCTTATAGCATTTTACAACTGCAACATCTGACTGCTTTGTGGCTATCAGATAATCAGGTAAGTGGTATTTATATGTCATTATTTAGTATTTATATTTTCCTTCGAAACAGTGTATGCTTTACAAATAGCACTTGAACTGAAAATAAAGACATTGTGAAATTACTTCATAATATTGGCTTATAGATTTGATATTTTTATCATGAAGTATTGTATTGAACATGTTGCTGTGTTTCTGAAGAGGAAAATATTTTATTGGTTAAACTGCTCAGAAACTATTGAATGGAGAGAAGAACTGGCATAGACAGGGTTCTAGATATTCAAATTAAAAACTCTCAGAGCAGTTATAATTCAGTTTCTTAAGAATTATCTTTGTTGATAAAAGTACAGCTGAAAATACAGTGGGATAAGTGATGTTTATTATATTTCTAATTTGCTCTTTAAGAAGAGTTTAAGAGTTTAAGCCTGCTTTCCTTCCTCCCTCCCTCTCTCCCTATTATAAATGCATGTGGGGAGAAAATCAAATACTTACACATTTCAGTAAAATATAAAAGACAGTTTTATTTACACAGTAAAATACATTCTTGTGTAATTGCTGGAAATTGAGTCCTTAGGCATTTTCACATGCAGAATGAATACCTAAACTATACTTGTTTCCTCATACATTGAGCAAATAACATATTTAGTATTCTGTATCCTGAATGTTTTCTATTTTTTCTTTTTCACAAGCATATATGACTTTTTGTAAATAAGCTCTCTTTAATGACTCTCTTTCTAAACATACAGTTCACGTTATATACTCACCATGGCTTATAATTAAACATGAATATGCAGGCTTACAATTATAGGCTCCTCCCACTAATTGCGCTGGTGGCCAATTCAAATTGCTTTAAACCCCTAAATGGCATATTAAGATACATCAGACAACACCTTGCCATAATTGAATCTACTCTTCACTCTATTAAGTGAAAGAAAGTCTCTTGAAAGTTCCATCACTTTGTGGAGTTGGCAGGATGTAAGACACCAGGCTTTCTCTGTAATAACCCCCCGCTTATAAAATACTGTCTCTCCAAAAGTGTGTGCAGCCCCAACCACCTGCAAAGAAGTTAAAGCTGTTTTATTTCAGTGTGATTTTGATCCCAACTTATTGGCCGTGGGTACACATCTTGAATGTTACTGGCTTTACTTTGTGGTTCTCTTTTATTCTTGAAACTCATTTGGCTTTAGTTATTATTACTTTGTTTTGTTTGATGTTGTATACCACCCTTTAGGTAGGTTATAAGTACTGTATAAATAAATAAAGAGTTGTCACTAGGTTCTTAGGCTTAGTATGTTGCATGTCTACAATTTCTACCTCCCAGTATCTAAAGAAATCTAAAACAATCCACTAATGTCCATTTGATAGGGTGAGTAATTGCAGGCTAGTTTATTCATGTTTAAACATAAATCATGGTAAAAACTTGGGTAGATATGGCCACATTTAAAAACAAACAAAACCTTTTTTCCCCTTTTCTACCAAGACTTTCCCACTCTGTCTGCAGAAGCTGTTCAATAATTTCATTGTAAGAAGCTTATCTCCTTCCTGATCTTATACATACATACATACATACATACATACATACATACATACCACCTTCAACACTATCCTATAGTCATAAGTTGAACAAATTCTAGATATTATTTTGCTATCTGTTTATCATAAGATTTGCTTTGTGTTTAAATGGTTACTGATGACTAATTCCAAACCATGGCTTATCTCTAAACAGTATGAAGTGACAGAGCAAATACAATAAATTAAGTTTTGGAGCTGCATACAGTTCTGTCTTTTACCACTGTACCTTCAGTTCTTTAGAAGAACTGGATGAGATAAGGTTCTGTTCGGTCAGGCACGCTCAGTCATGCAAGTAGACCTGATTTCACAGTAGGACTTGTTGCTTTCCCCCATCCCAGCAGATTTCTGCCCCTTCCAGATCTGCATAGGAGAGTCACCTAATACTCCAGAGCAGATTTTGAACTGGTCTCAAAGGACTACATGTTAATGTTCCACAACAAGGTATATAAATAATTAGATGAAAAAGAAAATGAATTGCAGTTAGTTTGGCCTGCATAATCTATATGTGCATTCATAATTGTTTCCTTCCTTCCTTCCTTCCTTCCTTCCTTCCTTCCTTCCTTCCTTCCTTCCCTCCTTCCTTCCTTCCTTCCTTCCCTCCTTCCTTCCTTCCTTCCTTCCCTCCTTCCTTCCTTCCTTCCTTCCCTCCTTCCTTCCTTCCTTCCTTCCCTCCTTCCTTCCTTCCTTCCTTCCCTCCTTCCTTCCTTCCTTCCTTCCCTCCTTCCTTCCTTCCTTCCTTCCCTCCTTCCTTCCTTCCTTCCTTCCCTCCTTCCTTCCTTCCTTCCTTCCTTCCTTCCTTCCTTCCTTCCTTCCTTCCTTCCTCCACAGTCTAAACCTCTCATTCCCCTTCAAAAAGAAGTTGACCCAGAAACACAGGAAACAGTTGTTACTAATTATATGTTCCCACAACAACCAAGATCTGAAGATGGTAAGAATTATATTGATTTTTTTTTAAAATGCTACCTGCATTAAAAATGGGGATGCTTAGATTAGTTTGTCTGAGCTTAGAAGTTAAAAATCAAAATACCTGCAAAACCCATAAACATGTCTCATTAGAATTAGAGAAACAAATATTAATAATGTTTAAATTCTGTAGCCCTCATCAGTATGGCAGTGTTAATACTGATCTGAAGATCTTTAGGATTCTGAAAGATATTTAGGTTTTGGCAAATTACAGAATTGTGAGGCAGCATCTAATAGCTTCTCTTTATAGGCACATGATGCTGTAACTTGACAGCATTTATGATCACCCTACAGATATCTTCTGTGTCCATGTTCCAGGCAGAGTCATGCATTGAATAAACAAATAAGTTGGAAGACATGGCTCAGATTAAAGTTAGTAATAGTTGTTATCTACTGTCTCATATAAAAGAAAAAAACAAGATGCAAATTAAAGTGCATATGGAAGAAATCCTTGCAAAATGATTGGAAACTGCCTGAAATGGTTACCATTTGGAATCCATTAGGAATGGAACCACATTATCAATTTTATAAATTACTTTATGTTTTATCAAGTCTTCATAATTGGGATGTGGATATGAATAGATTCATTGTGTATAATTTCTCTCATCACTGTTTATAAGCCTAGATAATTGAAGCCCTTAGGATAGTCTGAGTGCAATATCTAGTCCAAAATCCAAATTGACAAATTTGAAAAAACAAATGATTATTTTCATGGCAATCTTTCAGTTATAAAGAATGCTAAAAATGATACTTAGAGCAATTAGTATAAATATTTTATTTCATTTTTTAACAAGATCAAGTGATCATCTGAGTTTTCAGATCTAAATACTTTTCATCTTGATTTCAGTAAAGTTTATCATATCTGGACTATCTGTTGCCAGGTGGTAGTTAAAATGGAAACTTCATTTCAAATTGGGGCTTGAGTTAGCTATTTATAGTGCATGCAATCTGTTTTGTTAAGGAGGTTATTAAGAAATGCTATCTATTGTGTGAATTACTTTATTTGCTCTAAAGTATCTTTATCCTTCCTTTTATTCAGTTATGTTCATATCTGATAATGAGAGTTTCAATCCTTCACTGTGGGAGGAGCAAAGGAAACAGCGTGCTCAGGTGGCTTTTGAATGTGATGAAGATAAAGATGAAAGAGAAGCACCGCCTAGAGTATGTATTTATTCTGTTATTCTTCATTAAGTTTCATCCTTTGCAGATGAAACACAAGATGCTTTGGATGTAATATTTTGCTGAGGTGGGTAATCTACCATGCCTACCCTATCTGGTCTGATGGGATGGGCAGATACTCTCAGGAAGAGGTGGTCCTGCAAATAACTTGGCCCTGTGCCATGTAGAGCTTTAAAGGTGATAACCAGCACCTTGAATTGTACCTGGAAGGAAACTGGGAACCAGTGCAGCTTGCAGAACAGGGATGTAACACGGGCGAACTAAGGGGTGCCCAACACTGTGTCCTCTGCTGCATTCCGGACCAGCTGTAGCTTCTGGGTTGTCTTCAAGGACAGCCTCATGTATATCACATTTCAGTAGTCCAAATGGGAATTGACCAAGTTGTGAGTGTTGTTACTTACTGTAGTGATCAGAATGTGGGACAGTCCTTGTTCCAATTTGTAATTGGTTTATTTTAAAGTCTATTTATTTTCTTTAGGAGGGTAATTTGAAGAGGTATCCAACACCTTATCCTGATGAGCTGAAGAATATGGTCAAAACAGTTCAAACAATAGTACACAGATTAAAAGATGAAGAAAACACAGAAGATACTAATAAAGAAGTAAAGCAAGAAAGCCAGCAAGTTTCAGTAAAGGATATAGGAGTAAAGGTTAGATTCAGTGTTCTGTTTGAAATTATCTAACTTTTAGCCACAAAATAACTAATTACTTTTGAGAGCTACTAAGATCTGAACTGTATAATTCTTATTTATACTATAAATTATGATGAAGATAATTTAAAGAAATCTATAAATGACATTCTCTACACTTTACAAGATGTTCATCCAAGATAGATATATTAGAGATAAATGCTTTTTTTTTTTTTTATTTACGTGTTTCACAGTCTCGGCCTCCAGACTGGCCCATGCAGTTAACAATAGAGTCAATAAGTAACAATCAAGAATAAAATAACCCAATAAAGAATCCAAATGTTTTTTTAATCTAAAATAATGCACAAGCTTCAGACAATTACAGCTTGAAAGTGATAAAACTCAGCACAATTAAGAATACATAAAGATACATGACAATAGCTTTTAAAATCTGGTAACAAAACAGGAAATTCCAAAGTGTTAGTGCTGTCACCGAAAAAGTCCTAGCCCAGTTACAAGCAGATATTTTTTCCAGGTTGGCACACACAAAAAGCCCTTCTCTGCAGAGTGTCACTTCTAGGTAGCAATATACTTAAGAAGTCATTCTTCCAGGTAGGAGGGACTGAGCCATATAGGAAAGTATATGTAATTACAGAGTCCTTGAATTTTGTTCCAAAGGTAACTGAGGGCCAATGCAGCTTAGCCAAAACATTTGTTATATACTCGTGACAGGTACTCCAATGGAAGCATTTTGAACCTACTACAATTTCCAGAACATTTTCAAAGACACCCCCCCCCCAATAGAGTGTCCTCTGCCATAATATATCCTGGAGGTAACCAGTGCATCAATAAGTGGCCAGAGCAGCTCTTTTCAAGAAGGGGCAAAGCCGGTAGATTATCCACTGAAGGATGTAAGTGCTCCAAGCCACCACACTGACTTGGGCAGGATCTTGGAGCGCTCCCAACTCCTAGTCTGGAATGAGAGTAATTGATACCAATGGCTTAGCCACTGTTCAGGAAATAGGAGGTAGCTTACGTTCTTGTTAATGTTGATCCTTGAAATAAAAACCAAAACATTTTTGGATTTGATTGAATTTTGGCCCCATTCCTCCATTTAGTTAATGCCCTATTATAAAATAAATTATTCACATTTGCAGAAATAGGTTGGGTCAGGGCCATATATCTGAAATTCAGAAAACAAATTCAAACTACCTCATTGTAGTAATATGGTTTGAGCAAGTAGACCTGTTTGCTGTAAGCATTTTGGGGTAAGTGCAGAATACCAAAGCAGTAAAAAATGATAATATGTTGTAAACAGAAAAAACCTGTACAGAACAGTACATTTTTTCTCATTTGTTTTTCAGTTACCAAAAGAGCTTTTTTCTTCCTTATTTTGACTATATTTTAATTAATAGCACAATTTTGTAAAAT